ATGTAGGTTGCTCTCTGCTGGGTTGGTTTCAGATCCTAGGAGAAGGTTTTCCAGATCTCAGCTGGACACTGCACACAGGCAGCATTCCTCAAGAGAGGCTTTCCAGCTGTGTGTCCTTCCCAGGACCTGTGAGGTGCTGCCACTGTGACAACTAAACCTCTTCCAGCTCTGCTATGGCTGGACACTCGGAGGGTCTCAGCTCTCCCCTGATCAGTCCAGAGGCACCACCAAAGAGCTGTGATCTACAGAATCACAGAATCAATTGAGTTGGAAAAGACCTCCAAGATCATCAAGTCCAACCTACAGAGTGGAAAACACAGTCCAGCTGTGTGCTCTGAACACCAGCCACTCCACCCTCCTTCCTCAAACTTGGCAGTGCAGCAAGGGCCTCTCAGAAGATAACATTTCACAGGGACCTGGTGAAACCTGTTTTCAAGGGTAGTGAACTGCAGCCCTGCACATCCTGGGCTTTGGGTTGGAGCCCAGTACCCTGCCTGTTAAGTGACCTTTTGAGAACAATGTTTTGGGAACTCCAGATTTGGAGCCTTTGTTAAAGTGTCCTTCAGGGGTTCTGTGAAGAGAGCTTCATGGAGCTGAATTGCATTACCAGGCTTTTCTCCCCATGGACAAGGGTTCATCCTGTCCCTACAAGCAGTGAGTGAGAGCATCAAGAATTCATGGGAGAACTTTGGAGTGAGAAGAAGGATCAAGAGTTGGAGGCAGTGGTGTAGCTGGGATGAGTGTTTCTGTGAGGTGTATCCACCTCATACACCTAGTACTCCAGCCCGTGACCATCTTAGTGGCCTCTGCTGGATGCATTCCAGTTTGTGGACATCTCTCTTGTACAAGGAGAAGCAAATCTTGTTCCTCTTGGTTCCTGTTCCTCCTGGAACCGTCTTGTTCCATATGATTCCTCAGGATGCTCCATGATCCTAGGCAGGTATTTAACAAAAGCTAGTTCAAGACTTAGAGGGCTGAATGATCCCTCAGACAGGCTCTCCCTCGAGCAGGGAGGTCTGTTGGCTATGCATCCTTTGATGTGCTCTCAGAGCCAGCTTGTTTTGGGAAAACTTACTGCTGCTACCAGCTCTCTCGTCTTGCTCCTCTGCCTCACACAATCCCAGCGTTCTCCCAGTTGCATGACCACCAGAAGTGGTATGTGCAGTGGCAGGTGCTGCAGAGCTGCTCTAAGACCAGAGTTACCCCTGTGGCTCATGTCTGTGTTGAGCATAGACATGGCAACTGCAGCTGCCCTTCCTGGGCTTGTTCTGCTGTGCTGGACTAAAGGGACAGATCTGTGTGCAACAGTCCTTTTTTGTCACTGTACAGGATCCCACCAGCCTGCAGCTGGGCTGGCTGCAGCACCTCTGCTGTTCTTTCAGAGTCTGGTTAGGAATGGAGCCCTTGTGTGTGGCCAGCAGCATGGAGAGGGACCTCTCAAGTGAAGCACTGGACAATATGCAGCTCTTGGTGGGAGGTTGTCCAGTGGCTGCTTTCCCTCCGCTCCAGTCTCCTGTGTATACCAGAGCTGGAGCTCATTGCCTTGGGATGTGTGAAGGATGTGTGAGTATGGGTGCTACAGCTTATTTCTATTTCCAGCATCCTGGTGATCCTTGCTGTGTTGGTGCCAACCAGATTTGGACACCAGGAGATGCAGCTGTGATTGATTTAGAGAATGGGCCCCTCCAGGAGTATCATTTCTTGTGGTTACCTGCACCTAGGATCTTCCCATCTGCTTCCATATTCCCTTCTGGGTTTTTTACAGTGACATCTCAACCTGTCCTCAAGCTGTGTCCTTGTTTCTCACATGGTTTTATTAAGGTGTTTTTACCATTCTTTAAATAGCTTTGTTCTTGAGGCTCCCTTGAACAGTGGGAGCAGTCAGAGCTGCTGGAACTAGTTCTGGGGATTCAGTATATCATTTTCTACCTTGGGCATCGGGGATGGTGAGCCATCTCTTCTGTCAGCAAAGCAAACCAGGCGGGATTGCTGCTGTGGTTTGGTACCTGTCTGTGTTAATATGTAGCACGTGTTGCTTGGGCGTAACTTTCAGGGTTCCTTCTGCTGTTGTGGGGTTGATTGAGAAGGTGAACTGTGGCAGCCAGGCCATAGAGCAGTGTGTAAATGCCGTGAAGCTGTGTGGTGCACCACATGGGATTGGGAAGCTCTTCCCAGGAAGGAGCAGTGTGCAGGCTTGAACTGCCCCATGGGCAGCAGGTGGAGAGAGAGGTCCATTGTGCTTCAGTCCTGGGTGCAGTGAGGCCCCAAGGAGCTGGTCACAGCCTGAGAGAAGGAACATGTTCCTTCAAAAGGTGTTTTGGTCCATCTTTGCAGGTCCCTTTGCAGAAGGAGCAAGTTCCTTCCAATCCTGCCAGTGTTAGAGCAGCCTGAGTGGTGAGTCAGGTGGGGAGTAGGTCTCTTGTAGAGAGCTGGTGTTGGGTCTTCAGCTGTATGTGTTTGCCCCTAGGTGTTTCTGCAGAAGGACTTTGTGGGGACATGCTAGGGGAGTTGCTGTGTGCTTCTGAGACTCTTCTGCCCCAGAGGAATGAGTGATGGAGGGAACTGCAGTCCAGCTGCTCTTGCTCAGAGCCCAAGCTGGCTGTGAGCCCTGTCCCAGCTGCTGTGTAGGGCAGAGAGCTGGAGGAAGTGTTGCCAGTGGTGTGGGGGAGCTACAGCAGATCTGGGAGGAACGCAGAGCAGTTGAGAGACTGGAGGGCTCTTCCATAGGCAGCACTAGCTGCTTTCCACCATCCTTCCCTGCAACAAGAAGTGGCAGGTGGTGGATGAGTGAACATGGTGTGTCTGTCCCTCTCCCTGTGTCCCACACCAGAGCTCAGAGCCTGCATCTTGAGCTGTGGCAGTGCTCAGCAAGCCAAGGGATTATCCAGGCTTGAGGAGCACATGTCCTTCCAGCTGTTTTATTTCCAAGAGGGAGGCTTAGCTCTCCTGTTTGCAGGAAACCCACAAGTCTTGTGTGGGATTTACATTCACATCACCACAGAAACATTCCCGGAGGCTATGCAAACCTCTGCTCCTTGCTGAATGTCCCCTGGCCAGGCAGACACCTTTTCTCTGGTCACTCCACTTGGGTCCAGGCACATGCTTGGCCATTTTTGCTCAGAAGGACTTTAGCTGCATCCTTCCTTCAGAAGGGAGCACAGAGGGATTTTGTAGGCTGGGCTTCTCACAGGCTCAAACTTGGAGAAAGGAGAAGCAGCTCTGGGGATAATCCAGATTTTAAAGAAAATTTGAAAACTACAAGTATGGTGACTTCCAGACCAAGGACTCTGCATAGGCATTGGATTGGGGTTGTCTCGGTCCTGCCTGTGCACTCCTCATGGCTCTGCAGCTGGAGGAGGCAGGAGGAGACTGCCAGCGCCTGAAGCTCTCGCACGCAGCGGTGCAAGCCCCAGGACCTGCCCACCATGCAGTGAACTCTTCTCTCCTGCTGGTTGCTCAAAACTCAGGTATGAAATGCTCAGCTGGAGCATGGGGTGCGAGGTCTCTGCAGGTTTCCTGCCAGCCCTGTAGGAACATCCACCGCTGGGCAGATCTCCCTGTGCCACTCCAGGCTTCTCTTGGCCTTCGGAAGGGAGTTTCTCCTCTTTGGTACAACATTGGCTAAATGGACATTACACAAACTGTGCACATTGGTTCAGTCTAAGCTTAGTATTTGTGAATTAAGTTATCTGATGCTTCGCATGAAAACTTCAAAAAGGGGATTGGGGGGGATTTTAACTGAGAAAAAGCCTATGAAAATATACTGGAAATATGGTAAAGAAATCGACGTTCTGCTGTATATTGACAGAATTATTTTTATTAAAATACACATCCATGTGCAAGAGCCAGTGTGGAGCTGTGTGCTTTGTCAGTCTCTGCTTGCCAGGAAGGTGAGTGCAGAGCCGGCGCTGGCGGCAGCTCGTGTCCCCTCTGACATGATGTTTGTCCCCCGAAATCTGATCCTGCTTCAGCTTTCCTTTCCACCACTGCTTCATCCCATGGTGCTTATGATTCTTGGGGAAAAAATGTCATTAGGGATGTTTTCCCTGTCCCATTCAGTATCCTGGAAAATACAGCTGTGCTGTGTTTTCTAACCACAAGCATAGAACACTGATGAAGCTTTAGGCTGAGGATCAGTTTATTGCCCTTGCCATATTCCTTGCCTTCACTTCTCTGAGGTTTTCCCATGCATGTTTGCACCTCTCCCACGAGATGATGGACCAACAGCCTGGTGTTAGTATCCAGGGTCCCATGCAGCTCCCACCCCTCCCCAGCCCTGCAGAGGAACAGGCAGCCAGGACACCACTCTGCCCAGCTGAAGTGGTTGTGTCCTTACCCTTCCAGCACTGTTGACATTGTTCCTCATCTCCCTCAGATATTTTGCTGTGGCCACCAGCACATTTGGAAGCTGACAAGGTATTAAGGGTTTGGTAGATCAGTATCTTCTCTCAGAACCCTCCACTCCCAACCTCTTGGTTCTGGAGCACCTGCAAAGCCTGTGGGGCTGAGAGCATCCTGTGAGGACATACAGCCTTACCTTTGGGTAAAGGTAAGCTCACACTGACCCACGGGTCAAGACTTGGCTCCACTATCACATTCCCAATTGAACACACTGTCACCAGGCACAGTTTGCTCCCAGCCTGGAGGAATACATAATGGCAAAGGTGTTTTACAGTCACACCATGCCCTGGGCTTGTAGGATCTATTCCTTGGGTTGGAGAATCAGGAAAAATTCAAAGAGCAGCTTGTGGCAATGAGTCTTTATTATAAATATTTGCTCCACTGGCACATCCCAGCAGGGCAGTGACAGCAGGAGGGACTCGTGGCTGGTCCCTGACTCTGACACCTGATCCTGCCAGGTCTGGGCTGGCTTCACCTGCAGTGATCGTGCTGACTGCTGTGGCATCCTTCAGAGAAGTGCTGTGAGCACTGTCTGCTCCCTCCAGAGACAGGAGGGCTGGATGGATGGCTAAGTTGGATGTGACTGGAAAAGGAAGATTTCATTTTTTCCTCTGAAGCTTTTTTATGGCTCTCTTCACCCAGGGCTTCTTGGGGTCAGCACAGATCTCAAAACCATTGGCAGTCACAATCCTGCAGTGAGCAAGTGAGGAGAAAGAGTAAAAACATGAACCATGAGCCATTCCCTTCCCAGGCGCTTCTCCCCTCCCTTTGTGCAGCCCCATTCTGGATTGAGGCTTGGAGCTATGTCCAGCAGCCTGTGCCCTCCTTGGGCTGACTCTGCCCAGGCCACTGGCAGTAGCAGAAAGCACTAATTCCTATTTTTTCCTGCCTTTTCCCAACCCACAGAGCTACTTTGCTAGCACAGCCCCCCCCAAGCACATGCTCCTGATGGGATGGGATGGGATGGAGGAGCTGCTCCAGCTCCCCACTGTGCAGAGGTGGGAGGCAAACCCTGAGGTACTCACACGACTGCAGGCAGGGAACAGTCCCTGGGCGTCTCATAGAAGCTTTGCACGTGTCGGACAGGTTTCTGTGCGTGCTGGAAGCAGCATTCCACAGGTGTGGAGTGACCTGGGAAGGGAAGGGAGGGATGTGAACACCCTTGCCAGCACTTTTCAGCAAACTGCATTGCATTGCAGGTTATCAAACACAGGATGGAGATTGTGGAGTTCCTGCAGCATCCCATGGCAAGGATTTGTCTCCCTTCATGGCAGCAAGCCCAGGACTGGGATGTGGGTGGGGGTGGGGAGGGCAGCACAGGACCTGGCACCCCACAACCTGTGTTGCTGCAGCCACCAGAGTGGCACAGCGAGGTTGAGGCACTCGGCCTGGGGATGAGGTTTGGGGGGTTTCCATGGCAGGGGCATAACTAGCAGAGTGTTTTTCAAGGTTTCAGACAGCTGCATGTGCTTCCCCCTTCAACAATTTGCTCATCCAGCTGAGACCTGGGGAATGGCTGCCAGAGCCTCCTCCAAGATCCTGTAGCATCTGCCCAGGGCTGGCTTTGCTGAGACCACCCAGCACCTTCTCCACCCATCCCCAAATCCTGGGATGTGCCGCCCTGCCCTGACCAGGGGGTTGCTCCTCCTGCCAGCAGCACCATTCCCACCTCCTGCTGGAGTTTCCTGCCCGACTTCCCCAATGGGACGTGCCCAGTGGAGACTCCAAACCCCAACCTGCAGCGTAGCCCACGAGGTGCCTTACCTGTGGTGTGGTGCAGGGAGAAGGTGAGGAGCAGGGAGAGCAGCAGGACTGTCCTTGCAGCGAGCATGGTGGCTGTGTGAGGGCTCTTCCTCTGTCCTGCTTTGTTCTGCTCTGCTCGGTGTCTATGGCTTTGGATCTCACAGCACCGTAATTTATCTCCTGCATGCCACCCACTTGGACAGTTTTCCAGAAAATTTCAGACATGTTCTGAGAAGCCTCTTCCTGGGTATAAGGGGGTTTCTGTCATTTAAGGGCACATCCAGTGGTGGGAGGAAGAGGTTGAGGAGCAGGACATCTACTTCTGCTTTCTGCAGAAGAGCTATGAGGCTGTGAGGGGCTTGCAGGAGACTTCTGGGGAACTCAAGTTTACTCAGGAAAGGAGATTAAAATTAACTTACTGTAAAGGCAGAACATCAAGTCTAATGTTCTGCTGTTTATTTCTAACAGGAGGGACAACTTACAGGCTCTGTGCAGGAACAGGTCATAGGTGGGTTTCACTGGTTTGTCTGCGTCGTCAAAGGCAAGTGACTAATGAGTCCCTTCCAAAACAGACTCTTTGACCACCCTGGACATACTGAGGGTGCTGGGTTAGACACTTGATGGGATGGGATGGGATGGATGGGATGTCAGGCAGAAAAAGCCACACTGGACTGAACTAGGAGGGACCCCAGAGCAGGGGTTGGCAGAGATGCTTTTGTTGGGTTCAGGAGACTTGATAGAAAGGGAAGAAATGGGGCAGTGGCAGTGATGCATCCAGGTCAGATCACAAGTCTGAGTCCAACTGTTGCCCCTGCCTCCCACACCAGCTCTGGGATCAAAATGAGAGGGTCAGACAGATGGAGGCTCATGGCCATCAGTGCACAGACAGGTCATTTCTGCAGGGACATGGGACAAACCCTACCACAACCGCAAGAGAGTCATCCTAGCCCATCCTCAGGGAGAACCCCAAAGGCAGGTGGCACAGAGGACTGGTGGGCATCAACCCAGGTTCCATGCAGGGATCTGCTCCCCAGGAAGGCAAGATGCAGCTGCAGTCTGCGTGTGAGGAGGGTGAGGTCCTGGTGGGAACCCACATGGGATGATGGTGAGTGGGAGCACAGGAAGGGACCTGTCTGTGGCTTGGGGATGAGGCAAGCTAGGTCTTCTCAAAGGGGAAGAAAGGTGAAAATGGACTTCCTTGAAGATTATCTCATGTTTGCACAACTTCTCTGGAAGAAGAAAGGAGAAGGAAACAAATCGAATGTGCTGAAGACTCTGATTTAGAAGAATTGGTCTGCAGGACATGGGGTCTGGTGACCTGGCATGGGGTGGGGTGGCCATGCAGGGAGCTGGGCACAGCACTGCTGTGTTGTAGTGCCATTTTCCCAGGAAAGAGCTCTGCAGGGAGAAAACACCTGGCACACAGCAGCCCCTGAGTCCACTGAAGATCAATGGAGTTTGCATCCACCCCCAGGTCCTCCTGCCCTCCCTTTCAAGCTCCTACCACCTCCCTGGCACACAGACCCTCAGCCCAGCAGCCACCAGGGTCACACCACCTCCTAGGCCTTGGTCAGAAGGGAAGGGCTGTAATTGAGAACTGAGCTAATGGCTTTTTCCCCCCAACATTTCCTGATTCAGAAAACCTTATGTGTCAAGCTCCCCCCCAACATTTTCTGATTCAGAAAACCTTATGTGTCAAGCCTTGAGCTCCTTTTTCAGGCTCGTCTGGGGGAGCACACAGTTGCTCCTCCTTTCTCTTAGTCAATTAGTCCTATTGGAAGCATTAGTAGATGCCTCTACTATTTGCCCTTCATAAGGCAAATCAGTGCATGTGGGGTGTTTGGAAGCTCAGAGAGGCCTCACACAGCTCTCTGGGCTTCCCTGTCTGTCCCTGCCTGAGCAGTGGAGCTTTGGGTTTGGCTTTAGCCTTCTCCAGCCTCTTCAAAACTGCAGTGCCTGGGATGCTCCCAACAACCTCCCAGGCCATCCTCACTGGTGGCACAGTCTCTTCTCCCTGTGTGGAGCTCCTAACTAAGCATATACAAAGGCAAGCAGGCATCTGTGTAGAGAGAAGAGGGGGGACAGGCTGTGCACAGGATTTTATGGGTGTCCAAACCACCTGCAACCTCACTTTAACTAATAGTTGAGTACAAATATTTTGACTGAGGAAAACCCCGACTTTAGAAATTAAACTGGGTAAGCATGGGAAAAGAAAAAAAAGGAATGTACAGATGGGAAATATTCTCTGACTCATATAATGCTTTGATTTTAGAGTAGATGATCATACAATAGTTGAACAGGGTGTGTTAATCCTCTGCATACGACAGAGCGCTGGGGTCGGTGCTGCTTCCATGGCACAGCAGTCAGGAGAGGGCACCAAGCCCCAGCAAACTGGGTGACTCCATGGCCTGAAAGCCCTGGAAGGGTAAAGGCAGCAGTTTAAAAAGCGTCCTCAGGCTGAAGCATCTCCTGGTACACCCAGAGATCTCCACCTGCCTCTTGGTGCCCATGAGTCCTCCAGTTCCCAGAGCTACAGCATGTTGGAGTCATTCCCTCAGCTCTAGATGGGTTTCGTCCCTGCTGTGAACGCATTCCTGGAGGTGCTCTGCAGCCAAAATCCTGTTCCCCAGAACTGGGAGTGCTGACAGCAGGGCTGTCAGTGTGGCTGCTGCTCAGAGACTGGCTGACCATCATCCGACTGGTGGCGAGTGACGGCTTTACTATCACTTGGTGGGTGTTTTTGGTGGTTTTCCGTTATTTATTTTTTTTGCCTAGTTGGTTCTCCTCCTTTTGTTAAACTGTCTCGAGAAAAGAAAGAGGAAGTGGAGGATGTTCAGAGTTACAGCATTTGTATTCCCAGGTCACTGTCACACGTGGTGGAGCCATGCTCTGCTGGCAGTGTCTGAACACCTCCCCCACAAGGGGAAGGAATGAATGAATCCCTTATTTTGCTTTGCTTCTGTGCATAGCTTTTGCCTTATTTATTAGTGTCTATCTTAACCCAAGACTTTTCTCACTCTTGCCCTTCCAGTTCTCCTCTCCATCCCAAAACCCTGGCAGGGATCACTGCTAAGCTCACCCCTGGCAGAGATAATTTTCAGAGCTGTGTGTGGGTAAATCCCTTGTCTGCTTTAGCATTCCCTTCTGATCTACCTGCCCAGGGAGCTCTGCAGAGAAACCTTTCCTCTGTAGCCCAGCTCAGACACCACAGTCCTGGGGTAGACATGGCATCCAAGCTGTGCTTCTGCACAGGGCAGCACAAGAGACAAGCTGAAAGCTCTAAGCTCAAAACTGGTGGCAGTTTTGCACCTCAAAGCCCTCTGAGGAGTCTTCAGCCCCTTCTGAGTCCCCTTGAAGCAAGTACCCAAATGGTGCATCCATGCAGCACCATCCATCCCCCTCCCTGCCTGCCCCAGAAGGAGTCCCCATCCCACCCAGCCCCTTGGCCAGCTCCTTGCCTCGACCTGCTGGCAGCACCACGGTTGTGGAGCTGGGAGAATAAAGGACACAACTCGCCAGTAGCACACAAAGTAAACCTTTATTTTGTAGCTGTGATCAGCAGGTGGATGCTGGTGTGTCCAGCAGCATCCCAGGAGCTGGTGCCTGGCTGGTGGATGTGGCGCAGGCTCTGGGGAGTCACTGCTCTCTCCCAGCAGCAGAGACCTCCACAGCCCCTTCTGGGATGATGACTATAAACCTTCCTTCTCACCAGGATGTTGGGCACCCACTCTGCATCATGGGGCATGAACTCCTTTCCTTTTTAGAAGCCTCTCAACTGTTTTCTGCACCCAGGTCACCTTTGGGTTTGCGCAGACCTTGGTCCCATTCTTGGTCTCAAACCTGCCGAGACAAAAGGTGAAGCTTTGTGAGAAATGACAGCTATAATCCCACTTGTGCCCACGCCATCCTTCTTTCCCTGCACTCCTATTTTCCCCTTGGCCCTGCATGCTGCCCCTGGGTATTTGATGCCCTACAAGCAGCTCATCCTGCAGTCCAGCACCTCTAGAGCCTGTGCAGAGCCTTCAGGAGCTGCCATGGACTTGTGTCCTTAACTTTGCTCTGCAGAAGTGCCTAGACAGTCACATCCTCCCCTTTTTGTGCTGGAAGACCATGGTGGCTATGCAGACCTGGCCCACTTCTGTCCTCGGTCAAGACAGATGAACTGAACCTGTGATGGCCCAGGAGACAGCACAGCAATGAGGAAAGTACCAGGACTTACACAATTGCTGGGGAAAAACACTCCTTGGGAGTTGCGTAGAAGCCCTTCAGGTTTGCCAGCCGGAGAGGATTCTTTATGTACTGGAAGCAGCACTCAGACGGAGCGTAAGGGGCTGGAGGAGACAAAGAGAGGTGGTGAACATTGGCTCTGGAAGGCAGCATGTCTTTAGAACCTTCCCCCATGACAAGGCTGATCACACATCACCCCCCAACTTCTGCAGATGCTGCCATGAAGAGCCCCAGGTGCCCTCCTCTTTCATTCCTGGGGCAGAAGGATGCTCCAGGTTATTATCCAGCACTAACAGCCCTGCAGCACCTCTTCCAAAGCCACCCAGCTCCAGAAGCTCTTTCCATCCTTCCCTGCATCCTGGGATGTGCTGCTCTGCCCTGGCCAGGAGGTTGCTTCTCCTGCCAGCAGCACCATCCCTGCTCCGTACTGGGATTTCTTGCCTGACCACCCCAATGGGATGACTCTGAGTCCCGACTGGCAGTGGTGGCCCATGAGGTGCCTTACCTGAATCAGAGTGTGGAGAGAGGGTGAGGAGCATGACGAGCATCAGGACTGTCTTTGCAGTGAACATGGTGGCTGTCAGAGGGATCTTCCTCGCAGGGTGCTGCTCTGCCTCTTTGGAGGAGCTCAGCTCTGAACTCAGGCAAGGAGGTGCTGCAATTTATCCTCTCCACCCCTCCCCACTCTTTTCCAAAGAATTTGGACCAAATTCAAAGAAAAGCTCTATACAGTTTCATTGCCCACGGGGATTTCCATCACGTGGGATCACTAGGGTTATGGTCCAAGATGATACCTGGAAAGTCTGAACAGACTTCGTCAACTTCTGTGTTCACCCAGACGTGTCTGTGGGAAAGCCATGAGGGAAGTGAAATCCTCCTCTGCGGACGCGTGAACTCAAGAGCTCACAGATTCTTGGAGAGGAGATTTATACTGATAGGAAAGGCAAAGCCTGGTGTTCCATGCAAAGTCACTTTTCAATCCCAGAGCCAACACAGTTGTGCTGGTGGTGGCTGGATGGCTTGTGAATTCCTGGGAAGCATTAAGCAGGAACAGTGACTGCTGCTGCCACCAGCCCTCTGTGACTCGAAAGCTGCAAGGTGTCACACACTGCTAGAAATCTAGTAAAAATGCTGAAAACACATGCTCAGACCCCTGTAGCTGCTGTGGCTAGCTGAGCTGCTGTGGAGAGATGGAGTCCCTAGGTCCCAGGAGTATGACTTGGCCCAGGGCCAGCCTGGCATGACACCACCCATGCTGTGCAGCCACCAGAGAACTAAACAGAAAGCATTTCTGAAGAGGTCCACAACCTGTAAGGACAGTGCCATTCCTTCCTGCATGTGTTCAACCCAGTGTCTCCCTGAGCTGTAATGAACTCCTCGTGCCCTCCTGCTGATCCCCAAAAGCATCCTTCCCTTCCCCCACAGCTTTGTTGATGTTCTCTT